ATATATATATATATATATATATATATATACTTTTCAAGCTGAAAGAAATAGTGGAGGAAAAGGAGCCATTTATAGACAGTGCATAAAATGTAAAAAGACAAAAGCAAGAAAATAAGATTAAAGTCCTACTACAGCCGATGCATTAAAGCCACTTCGTTCGCACTCGTCTCTAACTCCAGCCCACCCGTGAGCAGACTGATTAAACGGATTAAGGCACTACTAAACACTCTTACCAAAGATTCATGAAATCCATGGTAGACGAAGAAGATGGGGAGTGGACAACCGCTGTGCAGGCTCCCATGACAGACACCCACAGAGAAATTCGACGCCTTCATCATTCACATGGGGAAGCAAGGCCTTTAAGTGTTCCTGTAAATTCAAAAGCTTGGCACGTTCCAAGGAACCAAGTATATCCCAGAAATTTGGATCACCGTGAGTGAGAAAAGGATGCTTGCCCCCACTCAACAGCATGCAGACGACAATCCCCAACGACCATACGTCCACGCCAGGATTTGCAGCTTCCTCACGGTGCGCGAGGACCTCAGGAGCTGCAAAGAGGTACGTTCCGTGAAAGCACCTGGGCAATACTCCTACGAGAAAGCAGCCCTCCAAATCACCAAGGCGCGTGATAAGAGACACGCTTCCTTCCCCCTCTCCTTCTTTGCCCTCTTTGGTCATTAATCCAGGTTTGAACAGCACCAAAATGTTCGCGAGGCTCACATCTCCGTGAACCAAACCCATCTCAATGTGCAAAAAATGAAGAGCCCCTACCAATTGCCGAGCAACCCCCACACACACCGCTTCCGTTTTAAATAATTCACTTTTTATTAAATCCAGGAGTGTGTAATCAACCCATTCCATCAGCCACTGATAATGATGAGTATCGATTACCCTAAGGGCATAGTAACGCAGCAGGTGCGGGCAGGCGTCCTCACTGTCCTCATGGCGCTTGGCTTGAATATGCCGAATCACGCGAGAAGATTCCATCACATTCGTGAAGTCATCCTCCCGGGATAAAACTACCTCCTTGTAAGCTACAATAATATTACACATTCTCCAGTATACGCGGCGCACGCGGCTGCAGGAGCCTCTTCTTAAAGTCTTCTGATTCCAATGGGAATTGTTGTTATACGTGAGGGCATCGCAATCGAAGTCAATATCACTTTCCTCAAAACAGACTAACTCTTGCGTGCGATTGCTTCCCATCACAGTGCTAGGCGACACGTTTTTCTTCCTTTCTTTTTGTCTAGTGTAAGCCCCTTAATTGTAAAAAGAGTTTAGGCGTTTCTTTTTGTTGACCTTAAAAGCTAAAAACACCTTTAGCCTTATCCAATTAAAGAAGTTAACTGATACACGAATTATTCAACGTCAACACCTTTTGCTCATGATTGCATTATTATTCACACATATGCATGCAATCAAAAAAAAAAAAGTAGCCGGGACATGGAGCCAAATTGACGTGCTAGATGGTCCATTCTGAACTACTTCTTCGTCTTTGGCTGATTAACCGTAGCGCTTGCGAGAATTTCCGCAAGCGTTGGTAGCACTGGCCTTGCCCACCCCTTCTCCTTGATGAGCGCGGCGACTCGTTTGAGCACCTCGTGCTTCGATTCCAACCCCGGAACGACAGGATTTCGCGTTTGCGAATCAAATTCGCTCTTTTTAATGTAATGCTCTACTTCAGGCTCTTTAATCTGTACCTTCACGGCGCCGTAGGGCACCATCGTGAACTTGATCGACCCCTGTGAGCGGGGAAGTGATTTCCTCGGCAGGATAGTAATTTTTTTGAATCCGAGCTCGCGTAATGCTGCCGCGATCTCCTCCACCGTTGGGTGGGATACTGACTGCGCTTTGGTCAGACGACGGCCGTCTCTAGGCGAGAGCTCTGCATCGAGGTACTGGGTGAAGATCGTCTGCATCGTTTTGGACTCAGATGCTGGAAAAGGCAGCTGCGACTGGAACGAAGCGGGATGATGCGACATGAGTTGAGCGCGCCCGAGAAATACCACACGATGGAAATGAAAAATATAATACGACTATTACCAATAATAGTAATATCAATAATAATAGATGAAACGAGGCGTCAAGCAAAGTATGATTGAGCTCAATAATGTGCTAACCTATCCCCCCCCCCCCTCAGACACACACACACACACACAAAC